CTGTATCAGGAGTGAAGATTACGTTTAGTCTCAGCTGGGTTTAGACAGAAGAGCTGCTTTTGATATGTATCAAATGATCCTTGTCACACTATAATATTTAGGACAAATTATGCCAACTTATGATTTTTTATTCCAACACTGAAGATGTAAACAAAAAAATCTATTGGAAGATTTTTTTGGATGCATGTATAAAGTAATGCAAAACATCAGAGTGAATATATAACCTATATGAGTAATTTAGTTGTAACAAATTTTTCACAAATCCACACAAGTTGTTTAAAACGTTACAGTGTGACAGGGTCTTAAGATTTTCTGAGTGTTTGGGTTTAAGTTTGTTGAAGGCTTTGGATTATTTCTACCACACTTGATATTATATGCAAAAATGGACAATAATCTGTTTTTATTACAAATAAATGTGAAGTACAAAACAAATGACAATGATTTTAATGGCAAATCTTTTTTGTTTTATTCAAATAAAGAGCTTATCTATAAATACCATAAAAAAGCTGTAGAACAGGGACGTCAAACTCATTTTCACTGAGGGCCACATGAGCGTTACAGTGGCCCTCAAAGGGCCAGTTGTAATTAACACTGATGTTTCTTGTTTAGCTTCAGGTAACTTCTGTTCATACTTTAGGCTTGCTTGCCTCCAGTGTTAAAGAAACTGAGCTTGTTTTTAAATCTAATAGTAGCTGAGAGTCAACACACGCCCTCAGCAATCTCCTTCACTTTGACATTCTTTTGCTTTTTTTCATCTCTTGTATGAGTTTCAGCTTTGGGTTTTTAATATAAAAATGTATGTAATGCTTAAAAACTAAAAAAAAAATTCCTTCCTTATTTCCGGAAGTACGCCCATATATGGAAAACGGTGCGCTTTGTCGCAGCGTCTTTGATGACGCAATGACGCAACCCGGCTACACATTGGAACGTCTGGGCTAAGAGTGAAATCTGCAAATTTCCTCTATTCGAACGGGCAGCAGCCTGTAGCACAGTGGGTTGAGCGTCGGCTTAGAATGTTAGTTAGTTTCCCGACCCGACCCGGCCAGGTTGGATCGATCCCGCCTCGTGTCGAGTCTCCAGTAGCTAGTAAAGAGGATTGATTCGGCTCCCAACGGGGTTCGCTTGGTGTTGACTCCGCCAAGGCCCAACAAGAGGAAAAGGAGGCACTGGAATTCAGTCTGAAGGCTTAGCGCTCACAAGGGCTTAGCAGTTTAGAATGGTTTCAGTTTTGCACATTCTATTTTTTGCTACATTCTATAT